AGACATCGTGAACACCCCTAATATATTAAAGCACCATCCATTTTGAAAACCGATTGATGCTACGCTGTAGATTGACAATGTGCTGAAAGTTCATTAAAGGTCCCATATACGGTATTCCAGGCCATTTATTTGCAGAAATCTCTTAAAATAAAAAACAGGGCGCAATGTGTAATTATTTTACGCGCAAAAAGTAAATAAACGCCTTTTCCTTTTTCTGTTTTTAAAAACTAGGTTTCAGATTCTATTAATCTGTTTTTATATTTACGAATATATACTGAGTGTAATTTTCTTCTTACATTAAATTCTAATATGTTTACATTAAATTGTGTGTGAGTATTTGTTTTTCTTTTCAATAACGATGTGGTCTTTTTTAACAAAGTAATCTTTATTTGATTTATTTTATTTCATTTTATTTATTTCATACAAATTTTGTTTTTGTTCAAACTTAATTTTCTCATTAATTTTTATGTTTTACACTTTTGCCAAGATAATAAATTATTGCATGTTGTTTTACGTTTCTGTTTGTATATATTTAATAGATTTATTGTTTTTAGTATTTTAATATTTTCGTAGTTTTCTCGACTTTTCAATCATCATTATGATCCACATATTGGGAAACAGATAAAAGTGCGATTAGTTTGAATCTTTAATTTATAAACATTTTTGTATATAAAATCGCATAAGTAATCTTTAGAAGAATTATAACTGTTTCAATTTCTGTATATTAATTTTGTACGCTACTTGATGTTAACCCCGATCCTTAATCTGAAACCACTTATTATTTTTATTTTAATCGTAATAAACAAATTCAAAATTTATTTAAATTAAATATTTGTACGTTGTTTAATTTATACCTTTGAAATTATATGTTGGAATTTTAAGTAATTTGATATAAATTGGTTATAGTGTAAACTGAAATATATTTATGTTAACATATTGTATTTCAATTTACTGAATTATTAGGTGTTTTCTTCTCGTTTGAATTTAATTGTTACAACAAAAAATGTTTTTCTACGTTTTATTAAAAGAGATTATTTTTAAATATTATTTTAAAATTAATTTATTTAAATATTATTTGTCAAACTTCAAAAGAAATTATGTGCTTTTGCACAGAATAAAGGGTATTTAAATATTATTTTAAATTAATTTATTTAAATTTGATTTAACAAAATTTCAGAAAGAATTATGTGTTTTTGCACAAAATAAAAAATGATGGCAAAAAAACGCGTACTGCATCACCGGTAGTCAAAACAAGAAGAAGGACAAGACGATTAAAAAACAATATTAAAGGCACCATTTCTCTCTATGCAAAATTACCATATGTAGTAAGCAAGATTGACGAAATTCAACATTGAGTTGCATATTAACAAATAAACGTGAGCAGTACACATTTTTTTTAAATAAATCTAATGCAGTATGAATACAAAACAATACGAAATATAATATAAAAAATAATATAGTATACATATAAAATTTAAAACTATTGTTAAGTTTTATATTAACTTTATTATAAAAATCAATTGTATCAATTATTGTAATTGCATTATTATTATTATATTAATTATATGTATACATAAGTACTTTAAATTAGCTTCTTATGTTGTTTTTGTTGTTGGTTTTATTTGTGTTATCAAATATTTTTAGCAATGTTGCTGGCTCTCACAACTAAATATTCGCACGCTAGCAGCGTGCCAGACGTAACATGATCATCTTCACACGCCACTGTGCAAGGTTGATAAGCATTATGTTCATTTTCTTTTATCGTGTGTTCGTTGTGAGTTGCAGCAATAGGCAAACCGCTGCGACAATTCTGTTGTTCCCACAGGTGCAATATGAGTTGGCGCATGGCTTCAGTGATAACACATTTAAGTCACCAAATTTGTGAAGCAGGTTGATATATGGCAAAATACATATATCAGCTTGCTGGTTGCATTAAATAGTATAAGCATAGGTAATGCACATATTTCCCACGAATGCCCTTGGCCTTGAATGTTCAAAGTCCATCGGATAACAAATCGTGGGAACTAGGTGCATTTCCTCCTTTACCATACCAGCTTAGTGTTAAGAATTTTGTATAAAAGCACAACATTTTTAATAAACATCTAATTCAATTTCAAACCCTGAATTCAACCAAGTGTTTTCTTTTGGTTTAAGTGCCTAAAAGAACCTTAAGCAAAGTCGGTTTATGTGCCGAATTTGAAAATCAATAAATAATAAAATAAATAAATACCTATATATATATTCACATATATATATAGCTATTTATAAATTACGTAACTGGTTCATGTGCCGGATTGCGTAAATGAATTACTAAGCTGGTTTAAGTGCCGGATTAGTGAATCCGTATCAGACTAGGTACGGAGGATAACATAAAGAGTAAAGCTAAGCTGGTTCAAGTGCCGGATTAGCTAAAATCTGTATCAGG